CGAGACCAGATGATTCAAATCACCGTATGTAGGAGTGGTAAGCTTCAACGTTCGGAAGCAAATATCGTACAGGGCTTCGTTGTCAATGCAGAACGATTCGTCGGTGTTTTCAACCAGCTGATGGACACTTAACGTAGCGTTGTATGGTTCTACGACGGTGTCGGACACTTTAGGCGAGGGAACGACAGAGAATGTGTTCATGATACGGTCGGGATATTCTTCACGAATTTTCGAGATCAGCAGCGTGCCCATGCCTATAAGGAGAAACATGTTTCCTGATGAAGCTCCTAACTTAATAGATTCGAAAATTACCTGAACCAGTTCCGCCGCCGAGCGAATGTGTGAGCTGAAATCCCTGCAGACAATCGCAACCCTCGCATTCCTTACGGACTATATCCATCACGGAATCGACCAGTTCGGCACCCTCGGTGTAGTGTCCTTTGGCCCAGTTGCTACCGGCACCGGATTGCCCGAAAACAAAGTTATCCGGTCGAAACAGTTGCCCAAATGGGCCGGCTCGAACGGAATCCATTGTTCCCGGCTCTAGATCGACCAGAACCGCACGAGGGACGTACCTTCCTCCGGTGGCCTCGTTGTAGTACACGTTGATTCGCTCCAGCTGCAGATCGCTGTCCCCGCAGTACGCACCGGTCGCATCGATTCCATGCTCGTCGGAAATTACCTCCCAGAACTTGGCCCCGATCTGGTTGCCACACTGCCCGGCCTGGATATGCACGATTTCACGCATTCTGTCTTTGTTCTACTGGCGCAAAAGTTTCGATTCTTGAATGTGGAGATGTTTTAAACTCCTACGTCCGCGGTTCTTGGTTGTAAAAATTGAAGTGAAAAATTTTCTTTCAGTTGCTCAAGGATACGGTTGCTTTGCATGACACACTATGATAAATCAATAGAGCAGTTTTTTCTACCGCTCAACATGTGTGATATCGTGATTCACTCGTCACATGGGTAGAAGTGATCCAGTGAATAGTGGATGAAATGTGCCAAATTATGGAAGAAAATAATAATTAATACTTATGTTGTAGAACAATGAATTTTCAAAAATACCGATCGGCGGAATGTAGAATCCAGGTGCTACAGATGAATTAAAATGCATGTTGCATATCGACAGATGCATTACACATATCAGTGCCAACATTTCAAAGGGGCGTAATTGCACTTGTAAACAATGGCTTTAGCCATAGATTTCTCGCAAATAAAAGCTCACTCATGAAAAATAATAACACCACCAGGTAGAGGAATGTTTCCTCTACCAGCTAGCATTGTATTTTTGGAGAGGTAAGATATCATTCGCGAGAAATTGACGGCTAAAGTCATTGTTTACAAAAGCAATTACGCCCCTTTGAAATGTTGACACTGATATTTTAGGTCATAGACTGACCTAGACACATACATTGCATGTTGCATGCTGTAGGCAGGAATTTAATGGCATTGGCGCCAGGGTCAGCTGATTATAATAGCACAAACGAAGTGACAGACGACTTTCTCCGAAGAAATTAATTAAAATAATGTGGTTCTCTGTAATAGAATTTTAGTCCACCTTGCGCCCTTCACCGCCAGGTTCGCTAGTATTTTTGCTTTGAATTAATTCAAGTTGGTTTTGTGTGCAATGATCTGGCAACCCTCGTTCTCGCTCGCATAGACGTGGTGCTGTTTTCTCACTCATCGAAGGAAATTTTGATTAGAGTGAGAAAGTAAGGAACAATCCGAATCTCAGCCATTCCCTCCTCAGCTCGTTGATAGATGATTTTTTGCCGCAAAACTGTGTTGTACATCGGCCACACTTATTGTTCGAAGTATTCTTTAGATTTGGCTTGCACATGCAATACATCCAAAGGCTTTTTTTTCCCTTTGAACTCACGTTCATGTGCTTTGATGAAGAAGTCGATCCAAAGACCAGGGCTGGCAAATGTCATTTTCAATGAAAGATTTCATGCGATATTTACAAAGATTCTTCTGTCACTATCATCGGATGAAAAAACGATGACAGAGATTTTCTTCAAAATCTCCTTGATCTTTTTTTCGTAATGACAGAACGTGACGATGTTGTGGTCATCATGACTACTACCCTAATAAAAATAACCATAAACGAACGATAACCCAAATCATTGAACTATTCCACAAATGGTTTGGATGATACCCAGAACACGTCGTTAAGCAAATTAACCATACAATTTTTATTAGGGTATCTCATTTATTGCTATTAAAGTTGTTTGTACCGGGGAAATCTTGAAAATATATTCACTCTACCGATTACATACGGTTGATTGCTTAAATTCATCTACATTAGTTAGAAATTTTGATGTCAAAACCACATAAGAATTATTCTCGTGAGTGCTTGATCATTGAAAATGGCAAGAAACCTCATAAAGTCGATGTAGAATCCGTATAACTTGAAAATTGATAGAAAATTAGCTAAATAGAGCCTGAAATAGAGATAATTTCATCATATTGATTGTTGTTTACCTCCTTTGTTGGCTACAAAGATGTTTATGACTTTGATTTTCATGCGACAAACGTCATTTTTCTTTCGTTTGCGAAAATTGGGCAGTGTTACCTGAACCTTGGAACATATTTTTTTTTGTCAATTTTCCCATTGAAATATATTTTTAACTAACCAAGGAATTGATAGTTTTTATTTTCGAAAAAATATTCCGTTATTATAAGAGCATTAGGACTATTTATAGCATAGAGATTGCTAAAGTATGATTGTGTAAGTGATTTGTTTTCATCGGGAAAATTTTCCGCTATGAAGTTTTTTTTCCCGATGAAAACATTTTGCGTATACGTATACGTGACGCACACTACGTACGACAAACGTCAGCAATCTCTATAGAGGTAACTCTAAGACCCAAAGGTCCCGAAGAAACGAGCTCAACTTTTTGGCTCAGCTCTGGTACTATCTTCGGTCCCAAGCTAGTCGATTCACCCCTCGAAACATATAAAAATCCACTAACCCTTCATTTTATCTGTCAAACTTTCATAGCAAATCAAAACAAACATTCTGTAGTACTAGAATTTCGACTATAATGGGGTACGTTAATCGTTTTGCTTGGGATCAATAGGCTAGTCAAGTAGTGAGCCAATTTAAAATCGTTAGTTTCGTATTGATTGTTATTTATAGTCTGTTGATGAAAACATAGTAAATAAACAAATATATGTGCTATTTGTTTTTAAATTAACCTCGTATGTTTATAAATATCTAAAAAAAAAAACATGTCATATTTTTCAACACAATAAAATCGACCGCAACACTACTTGCAGGCAGTGTGATGTAGCTAGAAGCGCACTTAGTGTATTTGGATCCTGATGAATGTGGGCGTCTTAGTGGAATACCCTCGGGAATACCTGTATATAATGAGAGAGAGAAGGATTCGTAATTTCCATGTAATTCCACTATCTTATTTCAGGCATAACATTTGATAACGGCACAAAAGCATTTGTAAACAAACTTTCTAAGGCCCTTTACACGCGAACCAAAGTACGCCCACGCAAACCAAAAACATCATCGGATAGGGGCAACTATCACCTTTTCGAAACTGGTATTTGTTTGCGTGGGCGTACTTTGGTTCGCGTGTAAAGGGCCGTAGAAAGTTTGTTTACAAATGCTTTTGTGCCGTTATCAAATGTTATGCCTGATTTGGTTATCTTTGGCTGATGCGCGTATTTCGTCTACAATGTGCAGTCTTCTTCAGTCTCTTGTACCAATACTCACTCGATTATTGGTATTTGGATGTTTCAATGCAAAGTGCAATATTAGGATCAACACTCAAAATATTATCGTCAAATTAAATTGTAAAGTAATAAAACAAGTGTATCTTTAAATACTGCCAAACATTTATTCATACCAATGAAAAAGTACGATTAATTCATTGCAATAATCACTAATGATTGCAGACATCCTCAAAAAAGAAAACCTCAACATCAAAATATACGGGAGTCTGAGGAAAAGCAGAAAAACCATGTTCGACCGTTTGGCTTGATATTGATCAATTTTTTTCTTGATAACCATTAAAGCAACAATCAATACGAAACTAACGATTTTAAATTGGCTCACCACTTTAGTAGCCTATTGGTCCCAAGCAAACGATTAACGTACCCTATTCTAGTTGAAATTCTATTACTACACTATGTTTGTTTTGATTTGCTATGAAAGTTTGACAGACAACATCAGGGGTGTGTGGATTCATGCAGAACATGCAGGGGTGAGTGAAATAGCTTGGGACTGCTTGGGACCGTTGTTCTGGTACTGAGTGAGCCAAAAATAATAATGATTTTCTTCGGGACCCAGTGGTCTTAGAGTTACCTCTATGATTAAAGCCTATTTCGAACATTACAAAATATATTGGCTCCTTCAAGCGAGCATTCAAGCAATTGTAATCGAATAATGGGAAAGTCACGAACGAGTTCTCATTTTTGCTCTGGAAAAAAGGCGCCAATATGTGAGTGGTGTTAAAAGTATGCAAACAAAGACAAGAAAATGTATATTTTTAAGCAAAATAACTTGAACATCGACTCCGCAGGGGACTGTTTTCAGTGTAGAACCAGAACCGCATTAAAAGAATATAATTACAGCTTACAGCGGCACAGTGCAGTCGGTGTAATGGCTCGACACCACTCCCCGAAAAATACACCGACACTTTCTACACCGAAAATAGTTTTCATGTAGTTGCCATTGGAAATGCACATGATTTTCATCCATAATCAAATTCAATGGAATTCATCTGAATTTCACATAAAATTTATGCTATCACATTAACTTTATGTGATTTTTCACATGAATTTCCTCGGCCTCATAATATTCATGTGATTTTGTGATGGGATTTGCTGCTATGTGATCATAGGAAAGCTATGTGAAATTCACATGGATTTCATCCATTAGATATGTGATAAATTTTTTGAGTGTAGAACGTCACTCCCGATGAAAAGTCAACAAAAAGTCTGCTTTCTGTCATCCTTCCAGATTCCATTCATTCATCGTTCTACTACCAGTGAGTCCGGTAAGCACTACAAGATTGCTCGAACAGCAAAAACGTGTCTCAGAAGTTTTGTGTAATCCATCAGTGTGAGTGGAGTGCTGCGAAGTACCAATAGTGATTTCCCAACACGGTTCCAGATTTATCCACACCGGAAGTGATTGCTAGACATTGATCAGGTGAGCGAGGGATTATTTTTGAGGGGAAGGAAGGTTCCGCAGTGGAATACCGAGATTGAGGTTGCGTAGAAAAAAAGTCAGCCTTGGGAATTGTTGGTGAGCCGTGAAAGTTAGGTTATGTTCCAGAAGATTCACTGCTCGTATTGGTTTGATTTGCTGGTGAGCTTGTCTCCCTTGCCAACAGGAGAAGGAAGCCAAGGTGGAAGATGATCACAGGATGACGACGATGATAAGGAATCAATTCGATTAAACGATCAATGAAAAGTAGGTTTTGTGAACTGAAATTGCGTTTGCGAGGTTCGTGATTGATTTTCTAGAAGTATTTTGTGTCTCCAACTGGAAGCCGCATAGAGAGCGGTTGTTACGTAACGAAACATGTAACATTGGAAGATGATGATGAAATTCGACAAAAGACAAAATTTGAATGAAACTTCGTACCTTATCGACATGACCACACGCAGCAGAGAGCTAATCCTGATCTTCCGTCTGTCTTTTTCGGTTTTGGATTTCGCTACGGGTTGCAGCCGGTCAACCGAGTCTGCTGAGCCAGGATGTCAGCCACCACTAGCACCCAGAAAATGACCGAGATCCTGCGGGACACGGAACGGGTTGCGGATCAGGTGCTGATGCGCAAGCAGGAGCTGATTGCCCTGGACAAGCGGCGACAGGAAACCCGGGAAGCGATTCGAATCATTCGGAAAAATTTCCCACAGCCAGATTCGAAAGTTTGGATCACGGTCGGTTCCATGCTGCTGAAGCAGAAGCAACCGAAGGCACTGGAACTGCTGGAGAAGGACGCCGAACAGATAGAGAAGGAGATCGGCAAGATTAGAACCGAACAGAAGGTGTTGGTCGGCCGGCAACGAGATCTGGAACACGACAGCCCGCTGCGGGGATTCGATCTGAAGCCGATGAGTGCGGCGGAAATTTCTGCCATCCGGGCAAATTTTCCTAGATTTTAGTTCTCTCTGGGAAGTGGGACAAGCGGTCTCAATCTATTGTATTCTACTTCGTTTTAGCAGTATAAGTCTTTTAAGTTCTTGTGACATTCATTAGGTAATAAATAGAGTTGGGCGTAAGCTTTTGGTGAATGAAATAATCAATTACGGATTATCGATTAAGGGAACATTTTTCGACTACTTGTTGGTAATCATCTTCTAGGGAGGAACTTCGATGACTTCTCGGGAATGATTTTTTTTTGGCAATGGTACAGTATCACACAGGTCCACTAACAATAAGTCATAGGAATAAAAGAGTACTCGCTACGGAAGAGAAGCACGGCAAAGGAAACAAATGATACGCCCGCAGTTCTTCTTCCACATTAGCTGCTGACAGTTTTCGTTGGAGGCCACTATAGGGGACGGTATAGATTTTCGGGACCATTCACCCACCTTCCGTTGTTTCTCCACTTGATTAGCGCAGACGTGTTGCTCTTCGAAGGCACCCAGCGCCATTTAATTGGATTCGTGAGGCTTAGTATTTCTCCGATCCGATAGGCCACGAACTGGTTGTACTTCCTGTGGCCGGATCAAATCCAGAAAAGTATCGTTGCAGAATCAATGTGTATCACCAGACGTTTCACCGTCGCACCGACGAGCAACGGACAGCCTGGCACCAAGTACCGCAGCTAGAAGCTCCATTCTATGGATCGACATGTACTGCAGAGTGGCTACCTTGGACTTCGTCGACACCAGTACGACTCTTGGTTGTCGATTCACCAGAATCTGGAAATACGCGACGCACCCGTAAGCATCTTCACTTGCGTCCGCAAACACGTGAAGCCCAAGATTCTGGTAATCAGACGGCTTTGCACCGAGGAAATAACAACGAAGAATTGTCATTGCCTGCACTAGTAGCAACAGCGCGATCCAATCTAACCACTTCCTTGCCGATTTCTCGTCCATAGTCTCATCCCATGGACATCCGTTCCGGCAGGGGTCTTGGATTAAATTTTTTTTTTTTTTCTGAAAACAACTCAACTCAACAGGATTCCTTTGGAAAGCAGCATTGGTCAAAAACGATTGCAAGACATCGTGCAAATCGGTGGCGAACACGAAAACGTCGTTAGCTGTGTTCCACGACATCCTCAGAACTCTTTCCATGCCATCGGTCTTGTCGCAAAGGAGTTGGATCATTTAGTCATCCGTTTGCTCATCGAAGTGCTGTAGAAACTCTAGGCTGTTGGAAACTCATTTTCAAAGCGTGAACCCCGACTTAGAGTGGATGAATGCGACCTCGCTTGCCCGCTTGATGGTCTCGCCTACCGTGAATGTTGAATCCAGGTAATCGGCGACAAATTAGTGATTGTCGTCTATTGCCTCAACAGTATCAGGAAAGTGATCGGCAAACTTCTTCGCGTTTCAGTTTTTTTTATGTACTGGATTTTTTTTATGTACTGGACAGAACACGGCGAGCAGGTTGAGCCGAAGGTGGCAACATCCATGATGTAAATCACTGGACGGCCGACTCAACGACCGTGTGGGGGAACTTCAGAGTAATTGACCACTTTGTCAAGCAGTTTTGGCGTGACTTTCTACCAGCGATTTCATAAAACTGGACCAACTAATTTCTATTTTTTTATGAGACGAACAAATGTTGGCTCCTTTTCTTGTGGTTCTAGAAGAATAAATCTCAAAATGTTTTACTTCAAAGTTCGAGTGGTAGTAAACGTCATTTTAACTGCTCGAATGAAGTGTCAATTCACGAACACTGAGCGCTGAGATCCTGCAGTTTTTAGAAATTTCTCCGTACCTCTGAGTAGAAGTGACTCTCTCTCCCTAAGTTATTCTCTCAGTGGCCGTATTAAAAGAAAGACAGGGAATTTAAGATAAGCTCTGGAACCTTTAAATAATATTAGATAACGTCGGATAAGTTGGAAATTTTTGATCGACATTTAGGGAACCTCTGCAAAGTTCAGCAAAACCAAGATAATTAGTGGAAAACTAAAAGGAATAAAGGGGTGATGTTCTTGGAAACTCATAAAACATCAGAGAATATCATTGAAGGTTCAGAGAAGGTATAAAAATTTCAAAGAGTGTTAGTGAACTTCTTCGGAGAAGTTATGAAAGTTTACAAAAATTTCCGTTAATTTCAAATAGCCTCAGGGAACTGCATTGTAATCTAGGGAAGCTAAGAATGAAGCCTTCCCTGAGGCTTTCAGAGGAAATTCAGAGCAGTAAGGAACCTAAGAAGGTTTTTGACCAGACCGAGAATTAAACCCAAGAAATCAATAACTAAAACCATCGTTCTTTTCCCCCATTCCAGAATGTTCCGCCTACCGACAGTGTTGCGTTGCGCCGCCGCTCGCCAGGTTGCCGCCGGCTACCGTGGCTACGCCAAGGATGTCCGCTTCGGACCGGAGGTTCGCGCCCTGATGCTGCAGGGTGTTGACGTGTTGGCCGATGCCGTGGCCGTCACGATGGGACCTAAGGTATGTACCCCTTACAAACCCCCCCCCCCCCCATCCTCCCGAACTTACCACTAAAATGCCTTCCACCCACAGGGTCGCAACGTAATCCTGGAGCAGAGCTGGGGCTCGCCCAAGATCACCAAGGACGGTGTCACCGTGGCCAAGGGAATCGAACTGAAGTGCAAGTTCCAGAACATTGGCGCCCGTCTGGTGCAGGATGTGGCCAACAACACCAACGAGGAAGCCGGCGACGGAACCACCACGGCTACCGTCCTGGCCCGGAGCATTGCCAAGGAAGGGTTCGAAAAGATCTCCAAGGGTGCCAACCCGGTGGAGATCCGACGCGGTGTGATGCTGGCCGTCGATGCCGTCAAGGTCCACCTGAAGAGCATGTCCCGTGCCGTCACCTCGCCGGAAGAAATTGCCCAGGTGGCCACCATCTCGGCCAACGGAGACCATGCCATCGGTGATCTGATCAGTGAGGCGATGAAGCGTGTCGGAAAGGACGGTGTCATCACCGTCAAGGATGGCAAAACCCTGCACGACGAACTGGAGGTCATCGAGGGAATGAAGTTCGACCGTGGATACATTTCGCCGTACTTCATCAACTCCAGCAAGGGAGCCAAGGTTGAGTTCCAGGATGCACTGGTGCTGTTCTCGGAGAAGAAGATCTCCACCGTCCAGTCGATCATTCCAGCTCTGGAGCTGGCCAACACGGCTCGCAAGCCACTCATCATCATCGCCGAGGATGTTGATGGAGAAGCTCTGAGCACGCTGGTCGTGAATAGGCTGAAGATTGGTCTGCAGGTAGCCGCCGTGAAGGCCCCTGGATTCGGTGACAACAGGAAGAGCACCCTGTCCGATATGGCCATCAGCACCGGTGGTGTCATTTTCGGCGATGATGCCAACCTGGTTAAGTTGGAGGATGTGCAGTTGTCGGATTTGGGACAGGTCGGAGAGATCAGCATCACCAAGGATGACTGTATGCTGCTGAAGGGCAAGGGCGATTCCAAGCTTGTTGAAGCTCGCGTCGAACAGATCCGCGACCAGATTTCCGAAACGACTTCCGAGTACGAGAAGGAAAAGCTGCAAGAACGTCTCGCTCGGCTGTCGTCCGGCGTTGGCGTTCTGAAAATCGGTGGTTCCAGCGAGGTGGAAGTCAACGAGAAGAAGGATCGTGTCAACGATGCCCTGTGCGCTACTCGCGCCGCTGTTGAAGAAGGTATCGTTCCCGGAGGTGGCACTGCTCTGCTGCGTTGCATCAAGGCCTTGGATAACCTGACGGGATCCAACGATGATCAGAAGGCAGGCATTGAAATTGTGCGCAGAGCGCTGCATCAACCATGCACCCAAATTGCCAAGAACGCCGGAGTCGATGGCTCGGTCGTCGTTGCCAAGATTCTCGACCAACAGGGTGACTTTGGCTATGATGCCCTGAACGGTGAGTACGTCAACATGATCGAGAAGGGAATCATCGATCCGACCAAGGTCGTCCGAACGGCTCTTACCGATGCCGCCGGAGTTGCCTCGCTGCTGTCCACCGCCGAATGTGTCGTGACGGAGGAACCCAAGCCCGAAGGTGCCGCTGGCGGCATGCCAGGCATGGGCGGCATGGGTGGAATGGGCGGTATGGGAGGCATGGGTGGAATGATGTAAATGCCGTACTACCTCCACAACCCTTCTAAAATAAGCAAATGTTAAGACTCGTTTAACCGTTAAGAGAAACTTTGAAACACAACTCAGAAGATGAAGCTACTTGGAAGGATGTTCCTCAAAAAACCTAGCAAGTTAAACCCAATGGAAAATCCTCTCATCTACCTTCGTCCGATTGTGTTCAAATGAAGCATTTAAGACACGTCAGACTCGTTCAATCTTCTCTCGCATTTTAAAAGCATACACCGTATGAGGAAGACCCGTTATATAGTAGTTATTAAAAACAAGCGTCAATCTTCCCGCAGATCCTTCTTCCTACCGTGCACCTATCAGTAACCACGAGCTATCGAGCGAGCGCGATTGTGATTAGACTGTGTGCGGTTCAACGTTCTGATCGATGCAAGGATAGGTATTCATGTGGTCGCGGAAGTTGTTTTAAATTAAAACAACCCAACGCAGGCACAGCAAGCAAACCCGAGCATACACATACTGTACAAGCAGAGGAAAATCACACGGAACGATTATCATTTGTGTAATTTGTCCTCACCCTCCCTTAGTATCCCTTAGATGTTTAAGTTCTCCCTTCTTCCGTCTGGATTGCTGATAGCATACTATTCTCAATCATCTTTTCCTTTTCGAATAATGATTGCCTATTCGCTAGTATGTTCCATTTATAATTAATAGTCAAACAGTAGCTGTATAGATTTTTTTGTTTGTGGAAGGATTATCTCTTAATATTTTTGGTTAGACAAACTGATTAGTGATTGCCTACACTTAGGAAGGTTTTTGTGTTAAGGGAAATAAACAGAATCGTACTTCTAGCAAAACAAATAACTTTCGAAATGTGCGTACTTCTCTGAACGTGTGTAGTTCGTTTTCGGTACCGAATATCTAGCAAAAGAACACACATTATTCCGATTATCACTGCTGCTAAGATCTGGTTGCAAGTGGATGCATTGTAAAAGTGAAATTCGCACAGGAGTAAAACAAAAACCAAAACTGATCAATCGATTAACTAAAAGAGAATATATACAAATTTTTATACAAAGGAACTGGACCTGAGTGATTATTTCAGATGACATCCTCTACTGCTATCATTCTGCAAAAAAAAAAACACAAATTTAACCCTTTCGGGCCCGCGTGGTCTTATGTGGGTGTGGGTGTCAATTCAATCTCTCGATTTGTTTTCCGTACTGAGCACCAATGCTACCGACGTCAGGGAGGCAGCTCCCACCCTGAACCCTACCTATCCGACCCATCAACTCATGGACCGAGGACCAACGGCTTTACTTTCCTTCCGAAGGAAGGTGTGGATCAGAGATTTTATGCCTCAGAAAATCCCGACGGCGCCGATTGGGATTGAACCAAGGCCCATTGGCTTGAGAGTAGCAATCACGCTTACCACTACACCACCGGCGCCGCTGAGTGTGGGTGTCAACTATACAGGAAAAATATGAAAACACCAGCTGCTTATAGCCAAACTCAAAGGCCGAGATCTCCAAAACCTTATGAAGTTATTATGTTAACGAACACAGCGACGATATCTTTAGCCATGTTAATTCAACCCACTTTGACAATTATAGATGAAACATGTTCTAAGTACTCCAAATTGTCCAGAAGTTCAGACTATTTGATCTACTGGATCAACGAAGGCTTGCGCGATGTCCTCATTGACAACACCTGACCAAACATGTTCATTTAGTTTTTGCGCATCTCTTATAATATGGGCCTTATTACGGGTGTCACTACACGGTGATAAGGAAGTGATATTGAGAATAAGAGCCGTGATTGCCGTACAAATCAAATGGGAATCACTTCACCGTGACGACAAGTGACATATATTTTGATGTATATAAAATGCTCAAGGTTCTCCAAATTATCCTGGAGTTCAGATCAAATGATCTACCAGATCAACTCCAGACAGGTTCATCGAGATTATGCACATCATATACGTTTTAATTCTATACGGTGTATACGGCTATTGAAAACCCGTGATGTGGTCTACTCTCGTGCAGATAAGGGAAACGCCGTGGTGATTATGGACAGGGAGGATTATGACTCACGCGTCCATGATATGATTAGCTCCGGTCCGTACGAAGAATGCAAATTTAAGAATGGCAAGTCTAAAGATCCTCAATGCAATGATCGAGGAATCAAATTTTGCACGGCACAATGTAGCGCATCTGATGGGAGAAGATAAGTTTGTAAGAAAGTTCAACGTCCCCAATCCGATGGTGGCATCGCTATACTGCCCATAAAAGCATAACTGTCCCATATGAATAGGAAATCAAGCAAAGATGGGACAATTATGCGAGTATCGGCAGTATATTGTCTACCGAAGATCCACAAAAATCCGGTTGGAATGAGACCCATTTCGTCAAATATCCGCACACCCACCGAGAAAATGGCAGCGTGGCTAGTAGATGAAATGAAGAACTGAACTACCCCGTAACGCATGGAAAAAGTGTTAAAAATTCGGTAGATTTGGTTGAGCAGCTAGAAGGGTTCAAGTTGAGACGAGGTGAGATTTTGGTATCGTTTGATGTTGCAGCACTATTCCGACGCTTTAAGAAGCCTGCGTCAACATCTAGAACGCAGTCGAGCGCCACACAATCACATCCAGGCTCACCTGCTTGTGGCTGAGCAGTGATGGCATAATTCTGACTCAAATGATTTTGTTTCGCTCTCAAGGGCTCCCAATATCACGCATGATATTGGAATAAAATATCAAGCATGATATTGTTTTTACAAGCTCCTTTGATATTGCGAGACTATTCAGAACATGTAAAATTGCAGCCACGAGTTGACTTACCACAAAAATGATTCCTTTGCACATCGTTTTCTTAGAAAGAGAAAGCATAGTTTGCTATCTTTCTTTACGCTTCACAGATGGCAGACACGAAGTTACTGCTGCCAGCAGTGATTGAAGTTTCGTTTCGTGTTCGGATGTACAGCAAAAATCTTGAAGCTCAAACTCAACACAGTTTGGTGAGAATTGTAGCCGGGGAGTTTTGTTAGCATGATATCATAGCAACCGTATCACAGCTTGAAATATCATCTGCTGTTGTTTGCGTGTTTAGTTTTTGGTCTACGATACTCAAATGAGATTATGCACATTGGTGATATTAGATCTTTTGATATTTTCACAACACTGTGGCTGAGGTATGCATGAACCAGAATTTTTTCACTTTTAGAGGGAAATTTTACAAACAAACGTTTGGTCTAAGCATGGGCAGCAAACTTTCGCCTCTCCTGGCGAACATCTTCATGAGTGACTTTGAAGCCGATGCTGAAAAACACAAGTTTTTCCCACGTTTTTGGAGGCGCTATGTAGATGATGTTTTTGTACCAGTGAAAGAACGCTACTTAGAACAAACTGTAAGTCTACTTAACTCCCGGCACAGTTCAATAAAATTCACGGTAGAAAACGAGGTGGATGGGAAACTGCCCTTTCTGGATCTAATGATAACCAGAAAGGAGGACGACACCCTGAAATTTGGTATTTATCGCAAACAGACGTCCACCGATCGCTACATTACTTCCGATTCCAACCACTTTGGAGCTCAAAAGCAAGCCGCTTTTCACTCCATGGCACACCGTGTTTACAATGTACCCATGGAGGATGACGAGTTTGCAGAGGAAAGAATTCGTATCTACAAAGCGGCTGAAGTGAATGGGTACGAAAAGGAGTTCGTGGACAAAATTCTCCGAAAACACAAACGAAAGAAGCACCGACAAAATATAACCACACTAGAACCAATGGGAGAAGAAGTAAAAAGAATCAGTCTGCCGTTCTATCCCAAAATTACGAATCCAATCAAATCCACACTCAAGCGACAAGGACTACAGGTAGTACACAAGAGCGACAACACTTTGCGTGACCTGTTGTGTAATTTGAAAGATAAAGTTCCGCCGGATGAACAGTCTGGAATTTATCAAATTCCATGCAAGGATTGTCCTTCAGTCTATATTGGACAAACGCGCCGCAAAGTAAAGGTCCGCCTAAAGGAACATAAACATGCTGTAGACAACAGAAAATCAAATGAATCAGCTGTGGCAGTGCACACAATTAGCTTAAACCATAACATTGACTGAAAAGGTGCAAAACTCATTAAATCCGTCAGAAAAACTACACATCTAAACGCCTGGGAATCATCATTTATCACCAATGCTGCTGAACCATTAATGAATGAAGATGAACCCCCCATTATATCCTGCCTTTTCAACCTGACAAATCTGAGAATCCAGTAGCTTCTCTTCTCTTCTTTTTTGGACGTGTACGGAACAACGTATGAACATCCAAGTAATCAGTCGGACATTGTCCCGTAGATGGGCAGCATCACGCCCGAAACCGGTCGACAGTAAGGTAAATTTTAATTTATTTTAAAGTTGTAAGAACGATAAGTGTTGTGTCTTGTCTCGCGTCGCGTCTTGTGAATGACGGTGTAGCAATTTCTCCAAATTGTCTTACTATTTGATCTACTGGATCACTCAAGGCCTGCACGAAGTCCTCAGTGACGACACATGTCCAAACAAGTTTATAGAGCTTTTGTGCCTCACTTATTTTCTATTTTGATGGGTGGTAAACGGCTGGACAATGCGTACCATTGATACTTCGCGTATCTGCAGGTATAAAATATGGGGCTCCCTTAGCTCAGTCGGTAAAGGCGCAGCTACAAAGCAAGACCAGGCTGGAGGTGGCTGGGTTCAATTCCCGGTCCGGTCTAGGAATTTTTCGGGTTGGAAAATTTCTCGACTTCCCTGGGCATAGAAGTATGATTAGACTTGCCACACAATTATACTAATGCAAAAATGGTACAGGCATCGAAAGCTCTCAATTAATAACTGTGGAAGTGCATCTAGAACACTAAGTTGAGAGCACGCAATAAGCTAATATGCGATATGCAATAAGCTTGAAATGTGAAGAAGAAGCAGAAGGTATAAAATATACTAGCGGTCCTCAGCCTCTTGTCCAGTAACTCATATCCCTACCTCCCTGCGGTGCCGGCTGGGGTACGAGTAACCATAGGGAAGATCGGGTAACAAACCCCTGTGGGACCTTGGTCGGATGCTGACAGGGAAGGGAGGACTCCTCTCTCCGGAGAGTGCAATCTTCGAGCGTCTGTTCACCATGGAGGTGCGGCTCAAAACGGCGGACCGGAACAATCGGCATAGACCCAACCAACGGAAACGGATTACCGATTGGAAACTCGGAACATGGAACTGCAAGTCTCAATTTCTTGGGAAGTACCCGCATTCTTTCCGATGAGTACGCAACTGAGTACGTGCAATGCCTCGACGCAGCGTTGTCGGATGAGGGAGAGCTCACCGAAGCCCCTCTTGAGGACTGCTGGAGCAACGTGAAAGCAGCCATTAACAGCGCTGCTGAAGGCGCCGTTGGGTTCGTGGAGCGGAATCGACGAAGAGTGTCAGACGGTTTTGGACGAGAAGAACGCAGCGCGGGCGGCGATGCTGCAGTAAGGAACCCGTCATAATCTTCTTTCTTTTATTTAACGTCGGTCTCTGTTCCGTAATCTAGTGCCAA